TGGGGACATCCCTCCCATGGGAGGCAGGTGGCTCCATTTGTCAAAAGAGGGATTTTTATTATTCTCTTCATTTTATTTCTTCTTCCAACCCGTCATCAAGTTTTGTTCTTTTTCCCTTTAAAATGTCTAGCACCATTTCACTGCCAGGCCAGTTCCCAATCAAGGCCTTCACCATCTCACACCTAGATGACTGCATCTAAGTCTATCCTTCCAAGCTCTCAGCAAGCCGTCGCCTCCTAGGGAGAGAAATTCAAAAAATGGAATTGAGTTCATGTAATTCGCCTGCTCAGAGTTTACAATAAATTCCTGCTACAATACATACAGCATCAGGGCCAAGCTCCTCTCCCTGGCTTCTCTAATCTGGCCCCACCCTGTCTACACCAGCAAAACAGATACAAAACTTCACCTTCCACATTTATTCAGCAGCTCACTGAAAGCGGAGTTCTCTTTCCTTGCTGTCCTTCCCCACCCCCTCCCCATCATCTTCCTTTCTGTGCATCCTATTAAACCCTCATAGGTCCTTAAAGGCTACTCCAAACCTCAGCTCTTTGATAAACTTCCCTTAACTCCTCCAGCCCTCACCTAATACTCCCCTGAGTCCCTGCTGCATTTGTGTGTTCTGTAGCACCAAACAATCACTGTGCATGTGACAGTGTACACGGAGTTCCACTCTACCACCCGACACCAATAAGCAGTTATTGAACAGCTACTCAAGTTCATGCAAATTGTGTCCTCCTGCCATCAAATGGGGGAATCGAATCGGATGAGACCAAAGATTCCTCCTAGATCTAGATTTTTACCCCTTCATCCATTCTATACTGATCCAATTTCGAAGTTGAAGCTTAAAGTTAAGTCAAGGTTTTCAGTTGAGGAAACTTTTCCAACACCAAGCTAGTGTTTTCCAAAGATCCCAGCATCATCATTTCTTGCCAGTGAACACACTCGGCCTATTAATGATGAGCCCGTTTCAGACGCAAGAGTTAGGGCATCTGTGATTGGGTCTGCAGCTTAAACTTCCAGACCACTCCAAATCCTCCAAGTTAACTTAGAGGGTATCAAATTACAACCCTACCCCCCTCATCATTAAAAAAAAAAATCTTTCAAATTGAAGAGGCAAAGTTTGATCCCTTCAATGTTGGGAGCTGCAAACAATAGGAGCTTTCTGCTCTAGTACAACTTCAAAAAGCTGCCGAGTGACTGCTCTCAGAATACTTGTTTGTAGTGATGAAGAAACGCACAGGCATCGTCCTGCCACTCAATGCCCCGTTAGCATATGGGCAATTCTGCCTCCTCCCCGACCAGCACTTTAATAAAGCAACGACCTGTACTTGTGTTAACTAGGCAGATGCGGGCAACTGGAAGGATGAAACTTTGGCAGAGAGGGGGCGAGATCTACGAGGTTAATACCCTGCTGTAAAGAGCCAAGGAATTAAGAATTTGTTGAAATGACCTAAATAACGTGTAGGTTAAAAAAAAAATCAACTGGAGATGCGTGACTGGTTGGATTGATTCCAGAGGCGTGAGTCCCATTGCTGCAAGAAAATGCCTGAGGCGAGATACCAGGCTCTAGCGATAAGTAAGTAGCAACCCCAGAGTTCTCAGCACACACCTCCCCCTCCCCCACCCAATGGATCCCGGAGCATGCAGAGCAGGTGCGGCCATTGTGCAAGTGCCTCTGCGGGTTCACCTACCCGCCTCTTCTCACGGGTGGCACCGATCCTCGCTGACCACCGACCCTCGAAGAAACTGCAATGCAAACGTCCTACTTCGGAACCCTGCTGCTTGGAGAGCGGCTCTGCTGCGTCAGCGGCTGCCAGGAGGCTGGTATTCAACCTTCCCGCCCCACCATGGTTAAAGTTTGCTCCCCATTCGACACCCCCACCCCCACTCCCTCACCCCAACCTTCCCACCACCCACCGCACCTCCGCCCTCGGGCTGGAGGACCACAGAGGATTTCCTGGGTCCTCCGTGCACAAACACATCCACTAACAAAAGAAAGCCCATTAAACAAATCTTCCCTCCTGTGAACTCGAGCCCCAGAGGATACCTCTTTGAACTGAACCCCCACCCCCACCCCCACCCCGCGTGCCCATGCAGCCCCCTCGCAGTCTGGGGCTCGCCCAGCCCTCCCGGACTCCCTCCCTCCCTCCCTCCCGGCTGTGCACTTTTGCAGTGCGCTTGGTCTTTGATGTCTCTTTACATTTTGGCAGAGCAGCCACACGCTCTTACCCGGCGCAGGGCTTTGTGTAACGGAATTGACATTTGGCCTTGATACCTGTATCTCTTGGTGATTGCAACAAATTTCTAAAATAAATATTGTACTTTGATCTCCGGCATTGCATTTTTAATGGACGCTGCGAACATTACTTCATTAAGAGTTAAGTTTTTCAGAAGCACCGAATGCAAAGGGAGGGAGGCAAAACAGCACTTTGTAAAAGTCTCTCCAAACTTCAGCTCGTGACTGAGAAGGCTGCCATCCTGGCGGGTTTTCACCAATTGAGGTGAGGCCAAGAGCAAGGACTTCCAACACTCGGGAGTGCGCCTACTGTAGCTGTCCCTGCACTGTCCTAAAGACTTAGCATATATTATGTCATCTTTTAAGCCTACAAGCACTCTACAAGTGAGCACTACTATAATCCCCATTTTACACACTGGGAAACTGAGGCACAAAGAGGTTGAGTAACTAGAAAGTGGAAATCTGGGTTCAGATTTTCGGAGTCCAAGCTCTTAACCACTAAGCCACCACTCTCTTTCACTGGCAACTGTTGGCAACTGGTGGCGGTTTAATTGTCGAATGGGGGTATTTTGGAGAAAAAGTTATCTCCTATAACTATGGAAATGTGAATTGGCCTTTCTTGCCTTTTTGTTAAAATAGCGAACAGAATGGGCAAATGAGAATGCCTTCCAGACTGCTTGGCCCAGCCTCCCGGGGATTGGGGGCGGGGGT